CTGCCACCTCGCTCTGATGGCCTCGACACAGTCGGCTCTCCGATCGACGATACGCGACGACGACAACGACGACGGGGCGCCCTCTGAGCGCCCAATTCTTACCTTGATCTCGTGTGTACGCGAGCTATCGAACGGCGCTCATGTACACGCGGATCACCGCGTCAATTGGCACGATGTGCTGGTACTCGAGGCTGGGACAGTAAAAGCGAGAAAAACTCAATCCGTCGAGCCAGTGGAGCGACCGCTCGGCCGGCAGCCGAGTGTGTGAGCCTATCGGCTGCCGGGAAATCGCACATGCGTATGCCACCCCCGAGTGACACATGCGGATCTGCGGCCATCCAACCACTTCAACACTGCCGCCCCCCTCCCACGCCACAACCTCCGGCACCCACTACACTACCGGCAACAGACCACCATGCCACACTTTGCAAGTGCAGTGACTGTAGCAACCCTGGCATCTACCTTGCTCCTCGCCCTTGTCCTCCCTGCTGCCGCTACACTTGATGCGGATGTTGGCCTTGGTCCAGGTGCACACCTCGTGTATGAGGCACCAATTAAGATCACTACTGGCTTCCTGCCTCCCATGTCGGGAGTGCCTACCTTTGTGGCTGGCTCTCTAGCTCCGATCAGTACCAAGCCCATGCCGCCCAGTGACATCCTCATTTCTTCGCCCATGTCAAGTCCTACCATGCTTGGCAACCAGGGCAAGAAGGCCTGGCATGTCAATCCCATCGATCTGACACACCAGACATCGGCCGCCACCTTTGGTCTCCTCTCGGCGGTCGGGCCAGATGCACACGCCATGATCGTCCTCGCCAACGTGGACGATGGCCTTGTGTACGCCAACATGTCGGCCGCCCCCGTGGGATTTTCGCAACCACTCGTGCCGGTCTATCCCGGTATCCATCCGTCGGCCCTGGTCATGACCGCCATCTCCGCCCCACATCCTGCGCAGGACTTGGTCATGGTACTGCCAGGCGAGGCAGAGAGCAGTCCGGACACTCTCGCATGGATGGCCAATACTCATGGCAGCGGGCATGAGTTGTCGACGCCCATTCCCGTCTTCTCCAACGCCAGCATGAGCCGGCCGATCCTCGCCGACGTCGACGGCGACGGCCTCGACGACGTCCTCGTCTTCAGCTCTTCATCACCTGCTGTCTGGCTTGTTCGCAACAAGGGCTCTGACGGTGGTCTCGACGCGCCAGTCCTCGTCTACCAAGGCCCGGCAGAGGCAACGGTCACCGCGATTGCCGTAGGCCATTTCCCTGGCCCTCGCGCCGACATCATCGTCGCCGTTGAAAACTCGTCCGTGCCGACTGCCTTTGTCGTCCGCGTTGTCCAGACCTCACCGATGACCTTTGTTGTCGGCGAGTACATCGCCGAGCCTGGCACAATTGGAAGCCAGGTGCCTGACATGGTCACTGTCCCGGCCCTTGTCCCAGACGGGCCCGACACGCTCATCATCTCAGCCTACACATTGGCCAAGATCTTCCAGCTGACGCCCACCGGATCGGCGGCGTGGAACCGGACCACCATCCCAAGCAAGACTGGCGCGGTTCGGCTTCTTGTCTCCAACCTCTTTGACTCGCCGTCTGCACCTGGTCGTGATCTTGCTGCCATGGGTCTCATTGCGGTCATGGCCTACCCTGCCACCAGTGTGTCGCCGCCGTCGCCTCCCGCTCCGGCCTGTCCTCCGCCACCGCCATCGTCTTCACCGCCATCGCCGCCATCGTCGCCGCCATCGCCGCCATCACCGCCGTCGCCGCACCCGCCGGCACAGGGACCCTCTACCTTCAATCCGAGCCCCACACCTATCATTCTCGCCGCAGTCGGCGCCGTCGTCGTATGCGGCCTGGTGCTCGCCATGGTCTTTATCATCCGCCGCCGTCGCAACAGCCAGCGCTTGGAGCGATCCCCTCTCCTCGGCATCAACCGCGGCGCCTAAGTAAAGCAGCTAACGGGCGGGACCGCGGCGCCTAAGTAAAGCAGCTAACGGGCGGGACCGCTTGCGGCGGCGGCATCGACGCGCGGGTCGGCTGCGAGCAAGGCAACGACGTGGTCGTGTCTGTTCTTTGCGGCCAACCGAATAGAGATGTTGTTGCTGACACACGGATCGACGCGCGGCCATGCTCGCCACTCGCAACGCGTAGTTGTTGTCTGTCGATGGATCCACAGCTGGATTCGCAAGCAGTTGCTGCACAATCCACAGCTGGATTCGCAAGCAGTTGCTGCACAATCTCGGTGTGGCCTTCCCTCGCTGCCCACGCAAAGGTGCTCTTGGTGCTCCGGGACTCGAATGCCCATGTGTTGCCAACGATCAGCTCGGCAATGTGCGTGTGCCCCTCGCGGATGGCACAATCGATGGCAAGGTCGTAGTCCCTGGCCCGGACGCTAAAGCGCGGATGGGCGAAGAGGAGCGCCAAGGTGTCGG